GGGAAAAATGAGGAGTGCGAGTTTCAAGTGCAGTAATTTTTACCACATGAGTGCAAAAAATTTAAATATATTCGCAGTAATGATTCTCGCGCGAAAAGATCATCGTCGGGATCATTATCATAATGTTGCGCAGCTGAATTTGGTCATTTTCGCGCTGGTGCGTGAAGTGAACGTCGAGTTCAGTGTTTTTTTTTTCGTAACTGGTTCTTGGGCTTCGTAAAAATAAATTTACAATATCGTCATTATCTGCAGAAATCTGTTCAAAATACCGGCATTTTTCCCTCGTATTCATGGTTTGTGATCGGATGAAATATTCGTCTTGCCAAATGGCTCGACACAGTTATCATGGTTGAACGCTTTGAAACATTAAATCCGTCTTCTCCAATTGAACAAATATTCCCATGATTTCTCAATTGCTTTCTTGATCTGAAAACTGGATAGTTTTGAACCGTTGGATGCATGGATTGATACGGTATCTGATCTGATCTGTTCTTTTTTTTTGTTGGTATATTACGCACTTGGAATGTTTACCCCGGTGTTTTTGGTTTTGAGAATGTTGTAAGAAGTATCTGTTAAGACACTGGAATTTGTTTTATTCAACACTCTCCTTGCATTTGTTACAGTCAAAACCTTTTCTTGAATGCTGTTAATTTTCAAGTACAATTCTCCAACTGAGACTGTTGTTTCTAAAGTCCAAAAACTTGTAGGGAGACACACAGAGTACAAATCCTCTAAAGCAATTCCAATATTGCCTGGGAAAGTTCTGATTGGGGAGATCTTGTTATATCTCTGGCTGTTTGAAGCCATTCCCTTATCTTTCTCCACAATCTCCTCTATTTTGACACACAAGAAAATGGGAAACAGAAAAGTGACAATTAGGAACTTCATTCTAATTGGAATTGCTTTTTGTTGCATTTTGACTTTTACAGTTTGGGGGTCAAGATTTTGTAGTCTGAGAACTTAATCTAACTAACTTATAATTACTAACTAATTAACTTATTGAAGCCTGTTGCAATTCTTTTTCCTTTTTGACTTTCTGTTTGAAATGTAGACCATTAATGCAAGGAATTATTAATTTATCATTTTAAATTTAAAATTGTCCATCCTGAGTCCTTGGTCTGTGAAAAAGTTTGTAGTATTGCACTTGAAATTTTCAAGGTGAAACATCTGGACTTCTGGAGAATTTCACTTTAAAATTTCTCTTGTACGGGTTTTTTACTGCAGTGAGTTCCTTGTATATTGTCTTTGGAAGATTTAATGGAGTTCAGGACTGAAAATAATTTTTTAAGATGGATTTTCTTCAATTTCTTGTGAATTTTCAAGGTTCTGGAACCAATCAACATTGTTCCTTTACTTTCTTAAGGGAACTGTGATTTGGCTTACAAACTATTTGGCTGACAAACTTTGTTCAGGAACCAATTAAGTTTGTAAGCCAAGACCCAAGTGTATTTTTTTAATGCACAATATATATACAGTGAGACCCCAAGATGCAGACATAGTTGGTGCATCAAAACCCACTATCCCTCATTTTCCATTAGACTTCAATGCTGATGTATTGAATTGGTTCTCCTTTTTGTCAAAAATTAGAAATAAGTCTAAAAAATGTATAATAAAAAATTTTCTCCCAACTTCTAGTTGTAGAAAACAACATTGCAGAACAAAACCACATAGAATCTGAGCTTTTGGTATCAAAAGGAGATCAATCAGCAAAGGAAAAGAATAGGCCCTTGCTAGAATATGCACAGATGATGGAAAAAAACTCTGAAAAAAATAAGCACAAAATCAGCTTGCTTTGGATTATGAATTACAGTGAATTTATTATGAAATACAGTAATTTTAATTTTTGTGAATATGAATAGCTTGAATCCTTCAAAATATATCAAAATTTTAAAAATGAAATACTTTTATTTTTTGGTGAAAGTTTAAAAAGTTTCCCCAACACCAGCCAATTTCTGTATCTTGGGCCTGATTTTTAACACGTTTTTATTAACTCGCTTCCTTGTCCGTTTGTTTGTCCGGATCAAATTTTGCAACTCAAATTTCGCTCACTTCCCTAGTAGCTAGCAAGCTGAAATTCCCAACTAGCTAGCAAGCTGAAACTTTCAGGATAGCTGAGAAACTGAT